GGACCGTGAGTGAGTTACAGTGGGCAGCCTCCATCTGCTCTGAGATGGACTGTGAACACAGCTGCATGGATCTGAGTAAGCTGCAGCCCTGGGTTGTAGACTGTGAATGGGGGACCTTGTGAATTATTTCTCAATACAACTGTCACTAAAAACTCCAAAACCAAGATGGTTTGCCCTCCCTTTGTGAGTTGGAAATGACAGTGTGGCCAAACTCTGCACTGTGGCCATGCGGTGGCCTCCACAATACTCAAGGAGGACACAGTGACAGGATGGAAGGACTTGTGGACCGGAGCTGCCTGCTAGCTTGGACCATGGCCACCTCTGCACAGTGACTCGAGAGGAAAACGAGCCCATATTAGTCAAGCTGCTGTATTAGGGGCCTCATTACAGCAGGTTAGATTTTAAATATCCAACTATTATAAAACACGGTTCTATATTATTTTATTTATTTATTTATTTTGAGACAGAGTCTCAAGCTGTCACCCTAGGTAGAGTGCGTGGTGTCACTGCTCATAGCAACCTCAAACTCTTGGGCTTAAGTGGTCCTCTGGCCTCAGCCTCCCAAGGAGCTGGGACTACAGGTGCCCGGCTATTTTTTGGTTGTAGTTGTCATTGTTTGGTGGGCCTGGGCTGGATTCAAACCCGCCAGCTCCAGTGTATGTGGCTGGCGCCTTAGCTGCTTGAGCTATCGGTGCTGAACCTCTATATTATTTTAAAATGGGATTTTCTTCTAAAAAGTCAATAACCTTTAAAAACATAAATGGTTTTTAAGACAGAAATCTAAAATAGTGAAACAAAATCTTTAATTCTGAACTCACAGCAAGGAATAGAATACAAACAACCTAAGGAAAGAAAGCTGAGGAAAGCCCTGGAGTGGACAGAAAAGCCCATGAACTACCCAGAGAAGCACAAATGCAGACCCATAGTCAGCCACGCGCCGTGCATGACATGTAGGTCACAGTGGAGCACATGTGTTGACAGTGGCTCCAGACACATCCCCATTGCCTGGTGGCAGCTCTGCCATGGTAGCCATTGCAGCATGGTGGCACAGGGCACTGCCTTTCTAGATGCTTGCATACATAGGTGCTCACCACTGTGTCACAGCTGCGCAAGCTGCAGCCTGGGGCGTGAGCCCTGCCCTGCAGCCTCAGTGACTCCTGCACCACGATGCAGAGCTCAGACAGCATCCCGGTCACTAAGTGCACAGGACGGGAATGGATGAGTGTGAGCCCACACGCTATCCACAGCCTGCCCTGAAGCCCCCCAGGGAGCAGAGCAGCCGCACTCCCCTGCAGGGGCTCCCTTCACATGCTTTTGAGCTTGATACGAATGGGACCTCAGTGAGTCTCATTTCCTGTCTGTCTTTATTTTTTGCCTTTATCGTGAATGTGTGGTTCATTCCTATGGTTTGCATAGCTCCAGCCGGTTCATCTTATCTCCCAGACACAACTGTAATATCCCTATTTTATAATTTGGGGATCCTACTGTTGGAGAACACTCTGGTTGTTGCTAGTTTTCTGGTTACCGGTAATGCTGTCAATGTTTCTGTATGCACACCAGCATCCTTGTGAAAGCTCAAGGCCCCCCTGAGAAGACTGGTTGACAACTCATGTTATGACAGTGCCCGAGAGCACTGACTGCCCACATCTGCACTAACATTTCTGTTGTGTGTTATTTTAGCCATTCCTGAGGATAGGTTCTGTTGTGAGGTTCTATTTCCCTGTGGTTCTGATAGAATACCTTCTTAGATTTTCCCTAGCATCTGGTTATCCTCTTTTGTGAGGTGCTTGTTCAACTCTCTTGTGCATTTTTCAATTAAGCTTTCTTTTATTGTCTTATAGGAATTCTTTTTAGACTAGAGAGACACAATTCTGTTAGGTGTTTTTTTGAGACAGAGCCTCAAGCTGTCCCCCTGGGTAGAGTGCTGTTGCATCACAGCTCACAGCAACCTCCAACTCCTGGGCTCAAGCGAGTCTCCTGCCTCCGCCTCCCAAGTAGTTGGGACCACAGGCACCCGCCACAACACCCGGCTATTTTTTGGTTGCAGCCATCATTGTTGTTTGGTGGGCCCGGGCTGGATTCGAACCCGCCACCTTAGGTGTATGTGGCTGGCGCCTTAGCCACTTGAGCTATAGGCGCCGAGCCTCTGTTAGCTATTTTTAAAGAACTCTCATCCAGAATGTGGATTGCTTTTCTACTTCCTTTACGGTGTTTCTTAATGACTAGAGGTTCTGATTTTTACTATAATTCATTCTACCAGTCTTTTCCTTTAGAGAGAGAGTGTGTATGTTTTGTGGTGTTTTGAAACCTACCCTACTGCATGGTCATAAAAAGATTTTCTTCCCATAGTATTTTCTACATGATTTTAGCTTTTGCCTTTGGTATTAAAATATACAATTCACTTGAAACTAATTTTATGTATGGTGTGAAATGCAGATCAGTATTACTTTGTTCTGTATGACTAATTTTCCTAGGACTCCTGTTTGCTGTTGTCACAAATCAAATGCTTCCATTTACATTGCTTTTGAGCTCTCCATTTTGTTCTACTGGTCCATTTATCTACTCTGGCACTCAGTACCACCTTCTTCTTTAAGTGGCTATTTTTGTTTTTGTTTTGTTTTCAGAGAGAGTCTCACTTTATCGCCCTTGGTAGAGTGCTGTGGCATCACACAGCTCACAGCAACCTCCAAGTCCTCGGCTTAGGCGATTCTTTTGCCTCAGCCTCCCAAGTAGCTGAGACTACAGGCACCTGGGTATTTTTTTGTTGTTTTTGCGGTTTGGCTGGGGCTGGGTTCGAACCCACTACCCTTGGTATATGGGGCTGGTGCCCTACCCACTGAGCCACAGGCGCCACCCAATGGCTATTTTTGGCTGCACATTTTCATATAAATTTCAAATTGGCTTGTCCAATTTTGCACACATAAACTCATTGTCTATCAGGATTTTTAATTAAGATCACATTAAATTTATAAACTTAGAGATAAAATATTGTGACTGAGGTACGTTTCTCACTTGTTCAGGCCTTCTTTCTCAGCTCCCACCAACATTTTTTTTTGCCGTTTTTGGCTGGGGCCAGTTTTGAACCTACCACCTCCAGTATATGGGGTTGGTACCCTACTCCTTTGAGCCACAGGGGCCACCCTGTATCTTTGATGATACTGAATATGACATATATCTTTAAAGTATTTTGTGGTATTGTTGTATTTGGTGTCGTGAAATTTAATTTTTGTTTACTGGCTTTGGATCCCATGATCTGGCTAACCTCACTTCTAACATTTTATCTGTAGATTGGACCTGCTATGATCTATTCAATGTTGGAAAAATAGGCATTTGGGTTTTGATTCCCTCACGTCAAAGAGAACATGCCTTACAATTCCAGTAAGTATAATGTTTGTTGTAAAGATTTTCTTTTGTCAGGTTAAGGATTGTCCTTTCTATTCTTTTTTTTTTTTTTTTTTT